TTGCTACATGGGTTTGATTTTGCAACCCCGTCAGGCGAACCAGTTGATATGCATGAGAACAGTGGATTAACCAATCTCCGAGCAACGCCCCTCGAAGTTCTTCTCTGTCCACGCCTTCCTTCTCGTCTATATGGACATTAAAACATGACTTTAAATCGTCCATCTGTGAATAAGATTCCAAATATTGACGTTGTTGCAACTAATTCTTGTATGTACTTCTTCATAAATATTCGCGTTTATTACTTATTCAAGTTATCAAACTGAGCCAGCTTGTGATCTGAATTAACTTAAATCAATTTAAAAGTATATTGTTTTAAGATATTAAAAAATAGTTAAAATAATACTATTTAAAAATAAATAAATTGAGTTTTGAATATATTAATTAGGATATGTCAATTATATATATATAAAACTCAACCCAACCCAGATCCTAAATTTACTAGACCCAACATGACCCTCGCATCAAATCAAGTTTAAAATCACTGATTACATTAATCACACTATACATTATATCTTTAGAAACAATAATAGAGTAGCAATGATCATCCATTTATTGACTATCAAAAAGCTTATAGGCAATGAAAGATCTAGGAACGGACATTAGTGGATGCTTTAGAATTAAAAATTAATATTGACTATCAAGTTCTTGGCCATTGTTTTTCTACATCACTCTGTCTTTTGTTGTGTTTAAGAAATTCCTTTCAATGCTTAAAAATTATGGAAGGTGGTCTTAATAATTTTTGAAATTCACGTGAAACTATAATTTGAATAATCAGTTTGGATCTTAATTAACTAATGTGTTGAATTCTCCATCTCGGATTAAATGATTGTGTACTCCATAAATTCAAGAAGCAAGCATTTGGACGGATGAAAACATAACAACATATAAAGAAGGAACCAGTCTCCATGTCCATTCAATGGATATGATTTGGATTGATTCAAATAACCCTTTATTATATATGTAATTTAAAGTCTTACGGGTTAATGTTTTTCTACATCCCTCTATTTGTTTATGTTTAAAATTAAAGTCTCTCTACTATTATGTATTAATATCAATCATACACGTTGTATTAAAGGGAAATATAAGACCATTCCAGGAAATAAAAAGGAATACTCCCTTAAAAGTCCTGAAGTCTCTTATATTACTATTTCAATTCCAAATTAATCTTCAAGTTCTCCATGGATAGACGAAGACGCCACATTAATTAATCCATAGATGGTGTCAGTCAAGAAATTACAAGCCTTGAAGGAAACCGTTCATGGCCAGAGCCTAGAGAAACCTTGAACTCACTGTGTAGCTTCTATTTGTGAGATTTATTTTTAAAAAGTATTAAATTAATATTTTTTATTTTTTAGATTTTTAACATGTTAATATTAAAAAATTAAAAAATATATTTTATAAAAATTAATTAAAAAATAATTTTAAAAAACACTTTCACTTAACAAACACATCTTCTCTGCCCATGTTTTCTCTTCTTATTCTATATATATTCTCAATTTCAAAAAAAAAAAAAGTTGTCCTCTAACTAATAGCACGACCAGCTAGAAATTCAAGATCATAACTATCATCACATGGTGCTTTCGCGACATGTCATTGAATATAGCGGCCCACATGGTCGGTCGTCATCACAAACTGGTGGCCATCCAATAATAATCATAAATCAGTGTCATCACTTCAATGATAGGAGTCATGTACTCCAACTCACAATTGATTGTAATTTTTTGAAAAGCGAAATAGGTTGGTAGAAATTATGGAAGAATTGCATGCTTTGAAACACACCCACGTTTTTCAATATCAATTCTGTATAAACTGCTATTAATAATAATAGTTCAATATAACCTTATTTTTTAATATCAATATTATACTCAACCGCCACGGAGAATAAATATTATATAGTGCTGTTTTATCTTCTTCAAAATAATTAATGTTATAAAAAATTTAACTTGGAATTTTATAAAAATTTAATGACTAAAATCTTTTAAGATTTGAGATTTAATGATTAAAACGATGAAATGATGTTGCATGAAAAAAAGGAGAAAGAGAGATGAAGAAAGAAAAAATGAATCAATAAAAATATATTAGGGATCTGTGTTTGACACACTTAATATTATTAAAAAAAATTCAATAAGATAATTTTAACATGTCATAATTAATTGTAAATTAACCCCAAACAAAATCCTTAACAAATTAAAATTATGTTTGATAATTTTTCAAGATGTAATTATTAAAAAAAATTTATTGATATCTTTTTAATTATAATGGGTATGTCGAAAACACAACTCTAGTGTATGTCTAGTGATTTTTTCTTTGCCATTAGATTTTGAATTTCATTATTGGCCATTGAATCTTCATGAAAATTTGAATTGTACTTTGTAAATGTTAATTAATTTGGTTCATAAATGAATTTTGAAACAACTATTTTTTAACTGTTATTTTTAATAATAGTTATGTTCAAACTGTACTACTTTTTAAATATTTATATAATCTTTAAGTTAAATTTAATTGATCTTGTAAATTTTAGTTGGTTCCACTAAATTGTATGATTAAATTGCTAACAACATAGTCAAATCCCATCTAAATTTAGTTGGGTAAATTTGTTTTTAAAAAAAATAAAGAGATATAGCGCGAAACAACACTATTTAATTAAAAATAGTTGATTTAATGACTTGCAAGTTCACTTAATAACTTAATAATTCAGATTTTCTTTCAAGTTCGTTGTCGAACCAGGTCAGACAACCATGTTTTGAAGGTTACATTTCAAGCTGATCCCGTACCTAGAACTTACAAATCAACGATGGTTACAACACATTCATGAAAGGAAATTTCCATTAGACAAAATATGCAATGGCAGTGCATTTGTAGTAAAACTAGCGTCCCTGTTCCTTTGTCTTTAACTTGAAGTAATCCGAACCACCCTGAGTTCAGCCTCTGGTGGACAGGCTTCAGGCATCTTCACTCAGCCATGCCTCGAATTTTGTCTCTTTTAGCAAATCTTAATATCCAATGCTTTAAAAAAGAAAAATCCTGCCGTTGACATGTAAAATCAGGTGGTCCACGTAATAGTCCATTACAGGCTTTTCTCATGCACGTAGGGACATGCACCAGCCAACATTTCGTCGAATAATTACAAAAATAATCTGCTATCAAAACAAAGAATTTTGCTACGACCATGCCCTTGATGATTCGTTTGAACCACTGTGTCAATAATTCTTTTTTTTAAGATAGTATTGTATTAATGATATTTATTCTATTAGATAAAAACAATAATAATTCAACCGCTTGGACCTAAATGTTGCTATAATTCAGTCCCTGCATACATATATTTGTAGTTAATTGAAAATCAGTATATATGCACAGATTAAAAAAAAAATTCTATAATAAAAACAGTATCACAATTTTTTCAAACTAGAATTCACTTTAATTTGAAGACTTTAGGTTTTAAACTTCATTATTTTGACCTGAATCCATTTAATTCTTGATATGAATTTAAATCTTAAATTATAAGATTTGTTATATTTACAAATTACAGATATTTATTTTAAAATTGATACGTGTCTAAGTTATAGTATCAATTATATTATTGAAGATTAATTGTTTATAAAATATTTAAAAACATTTATGGCATTTTAAATTAATGGCTTCCATTGCTAAATATAATATTTTTTAGAATGACATATTAAAAAATATATTGATATTATTTACGTTTGGATATTTTAATAAACATCAATATATTTCTTAATATATCATACTGATTCAAAATTTAAAAAGAAAAATTTAATTATATTTTAATACCAAATATATTATTAAAGATTGATGGTATTTTGGGTTGGATTTATTTTTTTAATTTTATATTAGTATGATATATTAAGAAATAGATTGATATTTATTCCAAAACCCAGACATAATAAGTCGAGAAATACCCTTACTGCCCAACCAACAACTTGAATTAAGATATAATTAAGAGATTTACACTATTAATTTATTATCTAATTTATTCAATTAGGATGTCAAGGTTCTGTTTGTTTTCTAAAAAATAATTTTTTTTAAAAAATAAATTTTAGAAAAGTAAATTCTGATAAAATAAATTATTTTTTAATATTTGGTGTTATAATAAAAAATAAGTTGGAAAACACTATCTAGAAAACACTATCTAGTGTCTAGTTATGTAGTGAAAAATGAGTTGAAAAATAACTTATTAATATTTTATTTTATTTTTTTCAAGTTTATTAAAATAATGATATAAATTAAAAGGTTAAATGAGAATGGAATTAAAAAAAATATAATTTCATAAATTATCTCAAATAAAATAAATAATAATCAAAATAATAAAGATCAAATCTAACAAATAAAAAAATTAAAAGATGAAGAAATTAAAATAATAATAATTATCATTTCATAAATTATTTCAAATAAAATAAGTAATAATCAAAATAATGAGGATCAAATTTGATAGATAAAAAATTTCAATTAAAAAATAATAAGCAAAAAGTAAATAACAATTATAAAAATAAGAACCAAAGTTAATATAAAAACTATATTCCGAGGGATTAAATTAAAAAAAATATTCAAAACAAAATATATATATAGCGATTAAAAGTTTGAGGACTAAATTTGATATAATCAGTAAATAATATGAAATTTCTAAATTTTTTATAATTTTTAAAAAGTATTTTCGTTCAAAATAAAAGAAAAATACTTTTTGAAAAATCAAATTATTAAAAAGGACTTTTTTTTAATCAATTTTTATAATAATAAATAAACATAAAAAATTTTAAAAATAATTTTTTAAAAAATATTTTTATAAAACAAACGAGTCCCCGGTTCAGTTTTACAAGAGAAAAAAAATCTTGGTCGCACGTCTTAACAACCTTTTCTGACACAGTGAAATCCTGGTCTTAACCACTTGCTAACCACAGTCAACTAACCATGGTTGTTAAACTCCAAAACTGCCCTTCATTTTTTTTTTTTAAATGAATAAACTGCCCTTCACTTTAGACCTTTTAGAAGCCACTTCCTTCTTACGCGATCGTCACCTATAAAGGCTAAGCGGGCCAAAATTTCCTCGTCAAATTCACGATAAAAGGTTTCTAAATTTTCCTGGAATCTTCAACTTGACGGCAAGATGTTTCCGGCGAAAATTGAACAGCAACAGGGTGTTAACCACCAACAACGCACCACCAACACGGTGCCGGCAGACAAAGTGGTGATCGCAGTGAAAGCAGAGAAAGTGATATCCAAGACAGCATTAGCTTGGGCTCTCACTCACGTTGTCCATCCTGGCGATGGCATAACGTTGCTTGCTGTCTTCACTAAGGAAAAATCCGGTAATTCAGGATTTTCAAATGCAGGCACTCTCTTTAGTCTTTTGTTACTATCAACTTTCATTTTTCGGTCTGATAAAGTGTGGATGTTTGAGTTCGATGTGCGCAGGTAAAAGATTTTGGAACTTTCCGAGGTTGGCTGGAGATTGTGGGAGTGATCAACGTAAGAGTTTGCCGGATTGTGTTTCTGAAATCTCCGAGAATTGTTCTCAGATGATGCTTCAGTTTCATAACCAAATTGAGGTTAGCTTGAATTTACCCACTTGCCATCTTGTTTCCTTGCTTTCTTTCTTTCTCGTTTTAATGTGAGGCGGTATAAAAGAAAATTGAGTTTATTTATTTAGAAAGTTGACTTGATTAAATTTAGATAATTTGTTAGGTTAATCTATGACTTAATTTACCCAATCAAATAATTTTAATGATTGTTTTTTATTAATTCCTTGTTGGATGTTAGAAATTTCGATTTCTTTTTTTTTGTCTTTTGGGTATATTTCTCTCTTAGATGGTTAAAGACTTTCATACTTGCTTGCCAAAATTTGTAATCTATTTATTTATTTATTTATTTATTATTATTATTATTATTATTATTTGCCTCTCCTTGGCTGTTAAGGTTAATATTGCCAATGTATTAAGCCAATATTCAATGTATCTCTTATAAGTAATAAAATAAAAGAATGTATGTATCATAAGCATTTGGGGCATAAGGTGACCTAAAAGGGGGGCCAATTATGCTGTGATCATGCTTCTAGGAATTTTGTGTGGTGTGTAGAAGCTTGGTGTGGATCCAAACAGACATGAGGTGCGTCGTCTAATGCAAACAAATTGAGTTAATTATGGGAATAGCATGTCCTTCTAATTTGCTAGTTTTGAAGATCAATTAGGGACCCCTCATGTGCATTATGTGGACATTTGGGTGCATAATTACTTATAGTTTTATTCATAAATTGTTAGCCATGGTGCCCCACATCATCATACTTTGGGGAACATTTTGTCACACTCCATGTGAGAATTGAAGATACTTAAAGCAAAGAATTAGTGACAAACATGGAGTACTTTATTTTGGATTCAGCGATTCATTGATACAAAATGCTACTGATTGTTACGATGATGCAAAAATGGTGAAAAAAGCCAAAATGGATAAAGAAAAACATCATGGGTTTGATTAGAGGATACAACAACTTTGAACCTCATTTAGATATTGTTTATCATTGTGGGCTAATCATTTTTTTTTTAAGTTTTTTTTATTTTTTACTTTGAAATTATATTTTTTTATGTTTTTGAATTGTTTTGAAATATTGATGTCAAAAACAAATTTTAAAATATGATAAAAATATTATTTTAATATATTTTTAAGTAAAAAACACTTGAAAAAACAATTTTTATTACACTTTCAAATAAACCCATAATGTGTGTTTGGCATTATTATATTGTTTGCGATTGCAGTTTTAAAAAATATTTTTAGTTATAATTTTTTAAAAATAAATTAAAAAATATGTTTAGTTACTCTGTTATGATACGGTCATAACATAATTAAAATTTAAAAAAAATTATTTTAATTTTTATAAAATTAAAATTTAAAATATAATTATATATATGAGATCTAATATATATATATAAAATATTTTACTAACTCAATAATTTTTTTCCTACTAGCTTCACCACACGGTCTCGTAGTAGTGCCATGCTTTACATTGTAGTTTTTTCCATAAACTCAACAAGCTAACTAAGCTAAACTGACGTTGCTTTATTGATTGAAGGTTGGAGTGAGGATTAAGGTGGTGTCAGGTACACCGGGCAGTGTTGTGGCGGCTGAAGCAAGGCGCCATGGAGCCAACTGGGTTGTCCTGGACAAGTAATTACACGTAAAAAAAAAGTATTTTCTTATTTCTGAGCTATTAATATCCTAACCGGTTGGTCAGTGGTCAATTGTCCTCTGCTCTGTCGTTCCCTTTGGTCAGTAGTTTTAATTATAGCCATGATTCATAAAATCGGCAGTTTTAGTAAATGACACTGCTGGGCTAATTTATCCTCGTGGTTCCTGGCTAATCCCACTTAAAATTTGTTGGTTTTTGGTTTTGATTCTTTAATCCCATTTCTAATGGGATAGAATTAGTATTATTAAATCCAATCTAGAATGAAATCGTTTCAAGATTTTTTAAAAAGATAAAACAACATCGTGTATGCTATGCTAGTAGGAGTTCGAATCATTTGCAACTGTATATAGATAAAATGAATGTGTTGAGAACAAGTTATTTTGTTTTCTAATTTAGCATATGGTAACAGCGACGAGTGTTATATACCAAGAACTTTTATAACCTCCAAGTTACATCAATCTTCCTCCTTTGTTGGACTTGGGACTGCATGCTTGATGAGTTTCTTTTCTTTTGTTGGCATGCTGCTGGCATTATATATCGACAGCCATGTAAACTTCCGCTCAGCTAAATATTTGTGGTTTAACAGCTCATGTAAGATTACTAGTTTGTGTACCGTGATGATGATGATAAATAAGACGTTAACGTTGTTTTGTTATTCGCCACTGAGCATACTGAGAAACTTAAAGGTTGGTTTATATCGTGTCTTGTTCTGCTAGAACAGAAAACTGAAGCAAGAGCTGAAGCACTGCATTGAGGAACTTCGATGCAACATTGTTGTAATGAAAGGTTCTCAGGCAAAAGTTCTCAGGCTTAACTTGGGATGCTCGAATGAAGTCCAAGCCCCATACTATTCTGCTGCTTCTTCTCCAGAAAAAGATGTTGGGATGCTGCTTGGACACAGGAAGAAGCATTCTACTCCTGTGAGCAGCCCTGAAGAACCGAGTACTTCCTACCCAAGAACCGGAGAAGGTTCGTCATCGTCAAGCTATGATACGGAGATGCCTCTTTTTCTTGTTTATGAGCAAAATCCTCTTTTTCAAGGACTGAATAAAATAAAATACACATTAAAAGATGACCAAAACAACTATGATGACCAGCTTAGAGCTATGTGCTCAGATGGGGAAAGAAGTGTCCCTCTGTCAACAAACCCAATATCAGCCGTAAGCAGTGGTCGGAAGAGTGTATTTTGGATTCCCCAAAACCACATGGTTGATGGGAAGGTCTCCAAAACCCTGAATTGCAGAAATACTTCCAAAATTAAATCTCCAACTTCCAGAACTCTACTTGATAAGTTTGTGCAATATGATCACGATGCTCTGGCTGGTAGGCTCATCCAGAGCCATCAAAAAGAGATTGTAAGCTCAGGTATCAGACATGCAGTTTCTCTAGGTAGAACTTCTTCAATGCCCCCTCCTTTATGTTCTTTATGCCAACACAAGGCACCGACTTTTGGAAAGCCTCCAAGACAATTCTCTTATGAAGAGCTGGAAGAAGCTACAGAAGGATTCTCGGAAATGAATTTCTTGGCAGAAGGTGGTTTTAGCAAAGTTTATAGAGGGGTGTTAAGGGATGGACAGGTGGTTGCAGTGAAGCTCTTAAAGTATGGTGGCTCTCAAGCAGATGCTGATTTCTGCAGGGAAGTGAGGGTATTGAGCTGTGCACAACACAGGAACGTTGTGTTGTTAATTGGGTTTTGCATTGATGGCAAGAAGAGAGTATTGGTTTATGAGTACATATGCAATGGGTCACTGGACTTCCATTTGCACGGTAGTCCCTATTCTTGTCCTTGTTTGCATCAAGAATGGTGCCCTTCCTTTTATGGTTTTCTAATTTTTTGTGCTCTCAGTATCCTCTGCTGGCATGTATACTTCTGGCTTCTAAATTTTGCCCAGTAAAAAAAATCAGCTCTTTGATTAAACTTCTGTGATTACAGGAAACAAGAGAGCACCTCTAGATTGGAACTCAAGGCTGAAAATAGCAACTGGGACAGCAAGAGGTTTACGATATCTTCATGAAGACTGCAGAGTGGGTTGTGTGGTGCACAGAGACATGAGGCCTAATAATATCCTCGTAACCCATAATTTTGAACCTCTGGTACTAAATTTGATCTTTACTTGTTTTAGAAGCATGACCTTTTATTCTTTAAGCTAGTAAGATCACGATTCCATCTTCTTCAAATGTACCTTAATATAATTTGTACGATTCATGCCTTGCTTGTACTAAAAAAAGGGATCCATGCCCAAAACCTTGACTTTTGGTTCTCTATTCCAGGACAGATTATGCTTAAAAACAAAGACTTAATTTCCATGGAGACTCTTTCTTATTGCAAATCTATTTTGTTTTTAAAGAGAGATTAGATCTCATTTATGTTCGATGCTTTATCACATAACAGACTGGTTATGAGGAGGATGCCAACCCTGATGGAATATGCACCTTACTGTTTTGTTTTAGGTTGCTGATTTTGGGCTTGCTAGGTGGCACGCTGAATGTACTCTCGGTGGCGAGGAGCGAGTCATTGGGACTTCAGGGTACTTCATACATAACCTGCTTTCTTCTTATGTTCAATTCTGTTGAGTTTTGAATTTGTGCTTAAACTGCAAGGATTTCATCATGACTTGCCTAAATCCAGGTATGTTGCACCAGAGTACACCAGTGGTGGAAAAATTACGCAGACAGATGACGTATTTGCATTTGGATTGGTTTTATTAGAGCTAATGACAGGTCAAAGAATCAGCATGCTGCAATTTTACAGGGGACGGAATTTTTTGTCCGACTGTTTCCATCCTGTCACTGCATTGGAACCAAGTCATGTCATGGAAAGTATTTATGAATTACTGGATTCATGTTTGGCCTCAGAGCAACTCCCTGAATTTGCCTATCAGCTACAAGCTATGGGTCTAGCCGCTTCCTTGTGCCTCCGTCATGATCCAGAAACCAGACCTCCAATGTCAAAGGTAGGCTACCTTACCATTATTTCTTATCCATTTATGAATTACTTCATACATGGTACCTTTCGCTTTTAACTGCACCTATAGCATTCTCTGAAGTGAAGGATGACTACATTTTTCTCATATTTGCGAAAAAACAGGTCCTTGGAATACTTGAGGGGGGTGACTTGGCCGTTCCTCTGAGTTTAGACGTGAATTCAGTGGGTAATAGAAGTGGCCATCTGATTGGTCGGAGCTCAGGCACACAGCCTGACAGGAGGAGGGGTCATTCACGTAAGCTTTCTCATTGAAAATTGATTTTGTAGCAGTTAGCACCAACCAATATGTATAACGATAACGGCTCCGGGTGAGATGATCTTCTGTTAAATGTATAGTTCAGAACGGTTCAGTTCTTCCATAGGTGAGTTGCTTTCCCAGTTTCAAACATGTTAATGGTGACATGATTCGTTTTCTTTTCCCCGTCGATCCAAACTTCTGGTTGTAGAGTGTGCTCCGTTAATGGTGTGACTGTGGATCAGGATTTTACCCGAACTTCTCCAACTCATTTCTAAAGGGAACTTCACCGCTGATCTTACGCCTTGTATGGTGTGACATTTGGGGCAACAGGTTTTACTATTAAAGTCGTTTTTGAATAGCAAACGCAAGTTAAAGGCAAATTGATTTACTGTATCGTACCAAAGAAAACAAAAAACCTGCAGTGCAAAATCTATCTTGGCTGCCTTTGGGAAAAGATGAAAAAGTGTCTATTTATCTTTGAGGATGCATGACAGAAGAATCATGTCTCGTTTGGAGGTTCGATATGGAAAAAAAAAAAAAAGATCCACTTTCTCCAACCATGTAAAGCAGGTACATCCACCATGCCTACTGCCTAGTCTCCCTTGCTATCTCCGTTTAAGCTGTCTTTTATGGTTGTTGTTACCTGAGGCATTATAACCAGAGGAGATTGTCATCTATGATCCCTTCAGTTCTCTTCTTGAAATATACTTCAACAAACAACTTTCGGCCTGTGGCATCATGGAAGGACTGTAGTCATAGTGTGGAATATTCATGTAGCAGAGAACTAAACAAACTTGAGCATTCATCACAAATCATGCAGCAGAACAAGTTTATGCCGTGTCGATTTCTCTCTCACGAGATGATTACAGATTGTGTGGCCTGCTTAATTAGAGCATCATGTTGTTAGAACCTTTTATACAATACATAGTAGGGCTTGAACAATACATAGTTGGGCTTGAAGTTCGATTTGCCTGGTAGTTAACCTACCAAATTATGAACCACTTCAACCCTTACTTGACCAGACAAAGTAGTAAATTATTCTGTGGTCTCAGGTTCGAGTCCTTGGTTGCTTATATAATGGTCACTAGAGGCTTATATGATCGTTAATTTCAAGGCCCGTGGGATTAGTCGTGGTGCGTGACACCCACATTAATCTAAAATACTTGACCAGACAAAGTAGTAAATTATTGTTGCAATGTTACATGAATTCTAATCCTAATTGTATAAGAACTCGGTAATAGAATCCCTATGAGCTTAGGATTAGTTTGCTCGAGCAATAAAAACTTCGTAGAATTAGAAATCCTCTGTTATTCTTTAAAGGTGTGATTAGACTTAATTTTTTTCTAGTATGTCAAGTTGTGAGCTGTTGTGAGATATTGCATGATTCGAGGATGGAGTGTTTCTGGGAAGTAAAATTTCGCTTCTTTGCCTATGGACGTAGGCATAGCCGAATCATTTAAAATCGTTGTCTTGTGTTTCTTGGTTCTTTCTATTTATTGTGATATTCCCAACATCTGTGTGCATGATCATCTTAACAAGTATGATGCCTGAATCAAGATTTTATTAATATATTTTTATTAGTTTTATATAAAAAAAATATAATTTTCAATTAAATTATTAAAAAAATTTAAAAATTTATGTGAAGTTTTTTAATATGATACTTTAGCTTGGGTTAAAATTTCAGGATTTTTGAAGAAATTCATAAATTTAATGAAAAATCACAATTTAACCAATTTTACATTATTAAACATAATTTTCAATCTAATCATCAGATTGAACTGAAATTTTACAGGGAATTTTAAAATATATTGAATAAAATCTAGTTAAAATTTTAAGATGAATTGAGCTTGATAGTGCTACAAAAAAAACAATCAAATAAAAGCAAAACGACTCATTAAGAATAAAATAGTTATTTACTATTAAAAAATAAATCAAATAAGCTCTTCATTCCTTCTATATATTACCAACTGAGCAGAAGCAGAATAGAAAAAGAAAGAAAAGAAAATTCGAGAGAGAAAAGTAAGGAAAACAAATTAAAAAAATCCAAGAAAAAAATTTAAAAAAAATAAAGAATAATCTTATAAACTATAGAAAAAGAAAGAAAAGAAAATTCGAGTGAGAAAAGTAAGGAAAAAAAATTTTAAAAATCCAAGAAAAAAATTTTAAAAAAATAAAGAATAATATTATAAACTTACAAAGTCTAACTTATAAAACATTAATCTAAGAAAGAATCAAGTGAAGAAAGGAAAGGTCAAAGGAAAGAAAAGGAAGGAGGAATTAAGAGAGAAAAAAAATTTAATTATTTTATTTTTCAGTTGACATGAGATTATTATTTTATTCTAGTTGAGGAGATTTAATTATTTTATTTTTCAGTTGACATTAGATTATTATTTTATTCTGGTTGAGGAGTTATTATAATATCAATTCAGATTCGATTATAGATGATTCATATTTCACAAAATATCAAAAGATATAACTTTAATAATGAATTTATTTTTATTTTCATTTTAATTTTATGTATTTTTAAATTTATTTTTTTAATATTTTGAATAGTGTATTTGAATTAAAATTTTACTATTAATTTTAAAAATTTATATATATAGATTAATAATTAATGTTAAAAAAATTATATATTTATTTAACAGTTCAGAACATGAAAAATTCCTGGATACGCCTTCACTTCAAGCATCCCTCTTGTATAATGCCTGCAGATTTTCAATTTGAGAATACATTCAGGAAGAATAACTTCTTAGCATAAAATTTACTCGTTAATAGAAATCCATTCATTCTAATCCACAATAGGCTTACAAGGTACAATACTACTGGAAAAATAATCCACACTCGTCAAACTCCGCTTCCCTCTCTAATGGCCAACCGCAAACCCCAATATGACTATCCCCATCCCAGACCTCCATTGTCAATCAAACCCGGAAAGGAAAGAATGGAATTCGTTCCTTGTTTAACTAACTCACAATGTTTAACAATTAGATTTATCTTGAGTACATCTTGCAATTAAAGTTCAAGGTTCTGGAGATTAGTTCGCCCTGTTTTCACTAGCTAAGCTGCTCCCATCAGATGGCAATGAATCTACATCAGAACCCATATGTCGCTGATATTGCTGCTGTTGTTGCATCATGGCCATTTGATACATATCAGGCGCCATCTCAGCCACACTCCAAACCTTGACAGACTTATCCAGACTCCCACTATACACCACCCACCGCTGATCACCATCTTTGGATTTCTCATGATCCTCCTCCACCGCCAGGCACTTGACAGGTCCATTATGCCCTGTTAGCACAGACATACACGCGTGAATCTTGTCATCCCTTCTCCACACGCATATGGTCTTGTCAGCTGATCCGCTGAAGACCAGATTCCCTGCAGAAGCGAGGCACAAAACCGCAAGCTTGTGGCCCTTGAGTACCCCACCATGAGTTAACTGCTTCTCGCTTTCCCAGTAATTCACCATTCCATCACTGGATCCACAGTACACAACCGAACCAGAGGTGTTCACAGCCAAAGCTGTAACCGCACTCTCTTGTTTCAACAATGTTTGAACCGGAGAATGCTTTGTCCTTTTGCCTTGTTGCTCTCGTTTCCACACTTTCACCGTTCCATCAGCTGAGCCTGTGAACACCAAGCCATCTAGACTCGCTACTACTGAATTAACAGCATCATCGTGAGCATTGATTGATTCGAGACACTTGGAGTCTGAGATTCGCCATACCTTGAAAGTCCGGTCCCAGGAAGCAGAATACAAAAGGGTTTTGTCCTCGTTGAGGGTTAAACATGAAATGGCATCAGAATGCTTGATCCAAAGAGCAGAACGGTTCCGAACTTGGACATATGCGCTTGGTCTGATAGAGCTCTTGAATACTTCCTTTAGGGTAGGCAAGGTTCCTGATCTCTTGTGCACGGTTGGATTCTTTGGAATAACCTTCCAGACTCGTATCTTGCCATCCTGGTGACCCGTGAAAATCTTCTCACCTGCAATTATTATGGCTTTCACCAAACCGCTGCTCGATTTGAATCCAGAGAACTCCTTCAAATTCTTCCACACACGAATATTCTTGCTATCAGAACCTGTATAAAGAAGATCCTTGGTTGCGGCCAAGGAATAAATATGACCTTCTTCGCGAACAAGCGAGCCAATTAGACCATTTTGAGGAAGATTTTCTTCAATTGACCACGGAAAATTGGAGCCAGCACCAGTTTGGTTCCATGGTGACATGGTCATAGGATACCCCTCACAGCTCATCCTGTTAGGATCATAACTGGCAGGACTTGTAAAGGAAGCACTGCTATTTCGATAGGCAAAAACCTCATCACGGGGTATTGCCGCAACTGTTGCTGAAAGATTTGGATCAGAATGCACAATGTTGCCGAATTTCGATCTAGATATGCTGTTTCCTGTGTCCACAAACTTTGTGCCTATTTCTTCTCCATCTCCCATTCGTGTGCCTATTCCTCCTCCCCGGTTCATCATGTCTCCTCAATCTAAAGAGGGTGGAAAACGAAGGAGAAATGAGGAAATTGATTGGAAAATAAAAAAAAAATGGTGGTGAGAGAATTTTGGTTAACAATATTAAAGAAACTAAGGCGGGAGAGAAGGCAGGGAGTATTATAGATGCATAAATAGCTGAGAAGGCAGCGGTAGACAAGATTAGGGACGTGGGGTTGGGACACCTGTTCATGCTCAACATTTTGATTGCTTGTAGTGAGAGATTTGGGATCCTTTACTAATAATAAACAAGGATGTTAGTTCCATTAGTTGGGATTGGTTGTTTTCTTTCTGTGGTTGATGCTTTGATTGCTATTTCTGGTCTCTGGACAACATTTTGATAAATTTTTTCATCATGTTGTTAGGTTATTTGGATAGGAAGACTTGAAAATTTGACCGCCATAAACGTTTTCATGTTTGCTATATCAGGCAGAGCATGGTGAGGTGTGATGATTTTTATTTTAAATAAAAAATGGTGAGGTGTGATGATTTTTATTTTAAAATAAAAAACATATTCGACCAGTTTAATTGGCTTCATTTCTGCCATTAATCGCTTTCCCAAGGTGGCAATTACCTACAAAGCAGACATTGATTAAGGAATGGGTCTACAATAAGAACTCTCAATGTGCTATATATCCTGTGTATGACATTGAAGTATACTCATCAAATCTAGCTTAGAGGGTTAATATGATGGTTCACTGATTTGAAGTCTGTTTCGAGCCAATTTTATTTTTTTAATTAGGTAGCGAGTTTCCGTGGTAAAACTTAAATAATTATATGAATTAACCTGTAAATTAGTTTAAGTGAGACTCTTGGTTATGCCAATTATAATAATTTTATTATTATTAATTAAAATGATATTGTTTTTGCATTTTTAAATTTTTTATTTAAATAACATTGTTTTATTTATATAAAAAAATAATGTTGTTATGATAAACATGGGTTGACTTGTTAATTTGAGGGTTGACCTAACCCATTCATGATCATGGGTTAACCTGTTAAATTTATAATATATTTGTTTTTGTGTTTTAATAGTATTTTTAAAAAATTATTTTTATTTTTATATTTTTTAAATTAATTTTTTATATATTTTCATATCGTTTTGATGTGCTAATATTAAAAATAAATTTTTAAAAATAAAAAAATATTATTTTAATACATTTCTAAATAAAAATAATTTTAAAAAAATAACTATTATAATACTAAACAAACTCTAATCTATCAAGCTTCGAGATAAATGAATCCAATTAGTAATTTCTTAGGACAAAATCACATAACCTGTACAGTGTCATTTGCGGATAGAATCGGGTTAATTCGTTGATATGAGAGTTAATCAGCTAGCCCACAACTCGTACCATATCTCATCTCCTCCATCACTCTCTCTCTCTCTCTCTCTCTCTCTCTCTCTCTCTCTCTCTCTCTCTCTCTCTCTCTCTCTCTCTCTCTCTCTCTCTCTCTCTCTCTCTCTCTCTCTCTCTCTCTCTCTCTCTCTCTCTCTCTCTCTCTCTCTCTCTCTCTCTCTCTCTCTCTCTCTCTCTCTAATTAATATGTTTTGTTTGCTTTATTGTTTTGATTGAACATGAAATCACCTCTTCCTTAGCAGCTTGTAGGTATAGGGATTGCTCCTGCCACCAGATACATCACGGCAACAGGGTGATCTGGGGCCCAAGAGTTTTGTGTTCTACATTTTAGTTTGGACAAAATCCAATAATTCTTTCTTTCTCAGTTCATTAAAGGCAAAGTAACATTGTCTGTTTTTCTAATGATATGTCCAACTGTCTTTGGGTTAGGACCAATTGTGGATCTCTCAATTGGGATAGCAATAAGGCATCGTGACAGTGTTTCATCTTTACCGGGTTTTTTTTTTCTGGTTTTGCTGGTTTTTTAACTATATAAATCAAACCAAACTAAACTAAAATCAATCACATTAAACCAGTTTTATTTCAGTTTTGATTTTAAATTAAAAAAGTAATAATTTAATTATTTTTTAAATAAAAATTAAATCAAACCAAAAATAGTTATCCCTGCTGTGCATGGCATTGTTACCTTCTTCTAGTTAAGAAGTTGTGCAGCCACTAACTAATACAGTCCTTAATTACCCTATCGTTATAGCACTCGTTACAAGGGCCATTTACTTGGGAATATAAAAGCGAAATCAATATCAGTGCCTATTTGATGATGCGTTTCTGATTATACGTGGAGACGATTTTTTTTAGTGTTTTTTTTTAATGATTTTCATATAAAAATATTAAAAATTAAAAAATATATTTTAATATATTTTTAAATAAAAAAAACCATCCATGATACCAAACTCGCGCTTAACGTAGTGAACCAGGAAAGGACAATTTCATGTTGCCGAGCATTCTTCTTGGTCCCAATTGATATGGTAACAAGACACGGAGTTGATTATATATATATATATATATAATGCTAAAGAACAAGTGATATTTGATCACATAATGTTGTCGGTTTAAAACGGCAGTACTTGAAGAAGACATCTCTAGCTTAGCTGCATCGTTGCCCAATTTCTTAGGGTTCTAACCTTCACCTTGAAAATAAATATTTTAATGTACTATAGAGAAGGCCATGGCTAACAGGAATCTTCGTCATTAAAATCAACATTTGGCTGGGTTAGATCTTGAAGAGGAGCGGGCTTGTTTTGCAATAGAGGCTAGCTGGAGCAAATTTTCCATCATATTTATTTTCCAAAACCACTGTCCTGGCACCTCTACCCCCTGCCCCATCTGTCAAAATATAATATAAAATGATTACTGTAATCTCATCAAAAGGGAATAAGTGTAATCAACCGCTTGTTTATTGAAAAATAATTTTATTTAAAAAAATGATTTTTATGAAAAATGATTTGATTTTTGATAGTATTGTAAAAAATAAATTAGAAAATAATTTTTAATATTTATTTATATCATGAAAATAAACTATAAAATAATTTATTGATGTTTTAATTAAAAAACTTATTAAAAAAATAAGGACCAAATCTTACAAATAAAAAAGTTAAAGAAAGATGAAATTGAAAAAAAAATCTAATTTTATATTTTATTTTAAATAAAATAAATAAAAATTAAAATAATAAATACTAAGTTTGGAAAATAAAAATGTTAAAAAATAATGAAACTAAAAAAATATAAATTTATAAATTTATAAATTATCTTAAATAAAATAAATAATAATCAATATAAACACTAAAGGTGTCATTGGACCTGCATCTCATGTGTAGGTGGATTTCTAAATATAAATTAATGAAATTTAGTAATATAAACACAATTTGTAAATACCTATATTATTTATTAAAAAAATATTAGTTCAATTCTGTATATTCACCCCGTTTAAGTAAAAAAATAATTCAAACTTATAATTTATAAAAAATAAAATTGAATATAATTATTATCACAAAATCAACTTTACTATATTCATAAATTATTAGAGAGAGGGGGGAACCCATGAAGTTTGCAAGATGTTAAAGAGTATTATCATACATGAATATCCAATCGATCAGATAGAAAACTGACACCAGTAAATACCATTTAATTATGGATTATTTTTTAAATTCAATGAATCTGTAGGGACAAAATTCAGTCATGGCTGCTCCCAAGAACAGTAAGAATCTTTGCTGGGCACAAATGCAATGGCCCATGAGACATGACAAGTGTAGCAGTGCAGCAGCCACGTACTTGGATTGAGGAGTGGTGATTTCTCTGTCTCTTTCATAGAAGCAGCCCCATCAGCTTACTGCTTACATCTGCACATTACTGGTTCAAAGACCATATAACAGACCACTGCTTCTCTACCACGTGTCCGACGGCAACAAAAGATATGATAGCACAACGATGCTTGAAATCACAAAAGCTGAGTAAGGTACAGTAAAAACCCCTGATTCAGTAAATTATTAGGGATGATTCTTCCAAACATCTGTTCTCGCTGATTTTATTTTTATTAGTTTGTCGGGAATTAAAAGTATATTTGTGCTTATTTTATAAAGTATTTTTTATATTATAATATATTAAAATATTTTTTTATTTTTTAAAATAAACATATCAAAACAAATCAAAATATAAAAAAATTAATTTTTTTAAAAACATAAATACAATCACATTCCCAAACTTTTTTTTATTCACAATAGTGATTAAACTCTTGATTGGATAAAAAGTAAAAGTTATTATAATAATAAATATTTTTTTATCATGTTAATTTGAAAATTTGTGAAATTTATGATTCTAGACCTGTAGGTATTGATTAAAAAAAATATTTATAGTTCATAATATAACACAAACTAATGTTAATCTAATAAAACTTGATTTATTTGTTTGAGTTTTAAACAACCCCACCAAAATTAGACAAGTTGATATCATGATTTCTTTAAAAAAAAAAAACATTGTTATTTAAGTAGAAATATTGAATCACGTTGATCCATCTATTCACTAATTTACTCGATAATTCAATAAACCAAATCTTTATTTTGTCAATGCTCGCAACGGATCTAACAACCCATGCTCATCGTCAAGTAGAGTGCTGGAAAGGAGCTAATAGTAAGCAAGTTGAGATGAGAAATTAAATAGATGGTTTTCTTCGTCAATGATTGTATTGCATTTACATGATCGATCAATGGGTGGATGCCAACCACGTCTCTCCATTGATATAATTAAAATTAGTCACCTGCACGTATGAGTCTTGAATCTCATGCGTGATCCTTGTAATATTTATGTGCACGTCTTCGGAGGAGGTCGTGGAACAAGCTCATCGAGGAACCGGTCGATCGGTAGGTGAGTTTTAATTAATGTTCACTTGGCGATACACGATAATTCTTTGATTTTGTTTCTATCTCATCCAAATCTTCAACCTGTACTGCAGCTGAGCTAGATCAATGCTTCGTAGTAGTGTTTCGTAGTAGTGTTGCTATTTTTGCCATCTTTCATTTGACAAATATATTAGAAGGGGGATTTAAACAATAGGTTGGCCAATCTCAACTCTTAAATTATTTTAATATATTTAAGTAAAAAATATTTTAAAAATCAACTATTACTCCAAATTGTTATTGTATATAAAAAATATTTTAAAAATCAATTATTACTCCAAATTGTTATTGTAAGAGAGGCTATTTGTGTTTCCATAGTCTTTATCAATCCCTTTTTAAACAATTTTTCTTAATCTTATGAGAGTTATTAATTATTATATACAAAAAAGAAAAAGAAATGTTTAAAAGATAACAATATATATTATTTTAATATATTTTTTAACAAAAAAATACTTTAAAAAGTAACCATTACTACACTCTTAAATATCATCTAAATATTCTTGCAAGAGAGGCCATTTGTGCTTCATCAATCCCTTTTTTAATCAATTTTTTTAATCTTAAGGGAGTT